CCTTCTCTTGCCTCTTCTCTCCCTCGGAGACTGCCACCTGCTTCCCTTGAGCGTCTCCCCCGGCCCCCCTTCTGACCTGTGCTTCTCGCCCCCCCATTCCTCTTCCTGCCCCATTCCCTCAGCCCGAGGCAGAGGGAAGAGTCCTTTTGCCATCCCCTCTTCCTTCAGCCTCCTTTCCTGTCTCCTGCCTCTTTCTCTCCCCTCAACGCCACAATCCCCTTCTGCCTCAGACTCCACCTCCTTGACTTCTGCTCCCCATCCCCTCACGTTGAGACGACACCTCTTGACTCTCCCCCATTCCTTCTGCCTGGTCCCTGTGGGTTGTTATGGGATTATGTAGAGAATATCGGTCTCATTTTAGCAATATCAGGACATGAAAAGGATTCTCAGGCCTGGTCTACACTAGGAAATTAAGTCAGTGTAACTCCAGTCACTCAGGAGTGTGAAAAATCCACAACCCTGAGCAATGCAGTTAAACCCACCTGTACCTGGTGAAGATAGCCCTAGGCAGAAGATTCTTATGTCAACCTACCTATCTATCATCCTCTTTGGGAGGTGGATTTCCTACATTGACAATGACACTCTTGTTTGCATGAGTAGCATCTTCTATGAAGTGCTACAGTGTTTTAAGTGTAGTAAAACTACCAGAGACTGAGGAGCAGCTGATGTTTTTCTCACACTTTTGCTGTATGGAGTAGGGATGTAAATGGGTAAATGATTAACTTGTAAGCATCACCTTTATCTAGTGATGCTTATCAGTAACCAGTTAATTAGCACCTGACTCTGCTGGAGCTTCCCTCCTTGGCAGTGCCTTACTGTGCCCACCACACTATGGGAAGGGGGATGTTCCAGCGGTCCCCTGCTCATGGTGCCAAATGATTGAACATATAGTTTAACCAGTTAATATTTTGAACAGGATTTTATGTCTCTAGTGTGGATACATAACTATATTGTGATGTAATGATAGGCCTCCAAACAGATTTTTTAATCTTTTACTGTCATGCAACATTAGGCTTCCAGGAAGTGTGATAATGACTGGAAAGTGATGGTAGTCCCAGAGATTCTGGGTTGGGTGTAGGGATGTAAGTGACTAGTCAAGTCACTACTCAGCTAGTTTGCTTCTTGCCTTCCCCCCGAGGCAGCAAGGGAGTGGGGAGCAGGAGCCAGTGCTAGGGGGAGCTGGCTTAAAAGCTGGTTTCCCCCCCAGCACCATCTCTGTAGAGGGTCAGGGGAGGCAGAGGCACAGCAGGGGATTGGGTGCAAACTGGAACTCAGTTATTGCTGCTTGCATCTGGTCCCAGATACTGCGCCTCTGCTTTTTAAACGTTGTAAGAGCCTGCGCTCATTCTAGCAATATGTTGTTGAAAGGCTTAAACTAAAACTCCCCAAAATGTGTGCATATTGCAAAGCTACCTACATTGGTGAGTGCCACCAATGCCTCTCATCATCCCATAGTTACTTGAAAGTGACTGTGAGGGACACATCCATTTAATTGTAAAGGAATATCTACAGAGTAATGCCCAAAAGTAGTAGGCAGGAAGATAGTTATTTATAATAAATAGCGTTTACAGACATCTCATGTCCTGATATACAAACACCATTTTAGGTTCTGCTTTTGTGAGTAGCACTGTTTGAAATCAGTGGGATTAATCCTGAAAGGACTGCTCCCATGACTCCATGGTTATTGCAGGCCCTTAATTTTTAGGGCTGCAGAGAAAAGGAAAATAATGGAAAATAACATACATGCCCATTTCCAAATGGATAATACTAAAATCATGTTGCTAATACTAACCCTAAATTTTCATACACACTCATGGACACTGCACACACAATTTATAAATTTGAGAGAGTCTTGCTTTGTAGGAAAATGAAATTTTGATACTTGAATTCTCTTTCAGATTCCACAGACATTCAGTGATAAATCTCTCATTCACTGCAGTGGCTGAAGGAGTGAATCCTAAATCTTTGCCTTTATTTTGGAGTCATAAGGGCACTAAATTAAAAAGAAAAAAATTGGTATTTTTATATTGGATGTAATTATTTTTACAGTCTTCTGAAAAAGGCAGGAGGTTTTGATTGTTCTGCTTTAACTGAATTTTGTTGTTTGAAATACCTTTCTCTGAAATAGCTATATCTTCTTAAATGAAGAGGACCATCTGCTGGGAGGGAGGGACAGTACAGACGAGGGTCTGATTCCAGAGTACCCAATTTTAGTATCACAGCAACAGACTTCAGATGAAACAATGCTGGTTGGCATTCATATGCCTTGATCCTGCAAACGTTTACACCTGTTACTAGTTTTATTGAGTCCATTTGGACTGTTCATGTTTGTAAAATTATTGAACACGGGTGTTTGCAAGATCGGAGTCCTAAAGTTAATGAACCAGTTACGTTTGGAGGAATTACTGCTTTGATAAATATTTAAAGAGTTTTTTTCCTCCTCCTCCCTCAGCTCAATCCCAGTGTAAGTGTATTTCAGAGAAAATTTGTGGGTGAAGTGAAGAAGTGTGAAGAAATGGAGAGGATACTTGGTAAGCTTTGTTTTAATATTCTTTCTCTACATCTAAACTAATATATTAAGCTGTGTCATTACTTAACAATAGATTACATAATCAGTGTACTACTGCATTGGAGATCAAAGCTTTGTCTATACCAGGGGTGACCAACCCATTTAACAAAAAGAGCCGAAACAATAGCAGAAAAAATGCGAAGAGCCGCACCAGAATTGTTGAAGGGAGGGTGGGGTGGGAAGGAGGCTGCCCCTTTAAGAAACAAGTTTAGGTTTTTTGCCCATATCAGGCTCCCTTCAGCCGCCATCTTGGGCGCCATTTTGAATTGCTTCCCTGGTGAGCACAAGGAGCCAGGGATCAGTGTGGGGAGATCCAGGGTGGAGGCTGTTGGGGCGGGGGAGGGAGTGTGCATGAGTGGCTTTGTGAGCCGCACTTTTGGGGGAGAAGAGCTGCAAGTTGGCCACCGCTGGTCTATATTTATTGGAGGGTCAGTCCTCCAGCAATTGATCTTCTGTGATTTGATTTAGCCGGGCTATAGTAAAGATCCAAATGCTAAGCGTGCTTCCATCGATTGCATAAGGGAAGTTTATGGGAGAGTTTATCCTGTTGACCTCCCACTGTGGAGACGCTCCAGGAAATTGATGTATGGCATGTTGACTCCAGCTACACAATTGTTGTAGCTGGAACTGTGTCTCTTACATCACTTTTCTCTATCAGTGTAGACTTGGCCTTACTTATTTGTGTTTTTTATTATGTTGATCTCAACAGATTCTGAGTACTTAAAATCTGAAAGTTTCTTTTATATATTCCATGGAGTCTTTGATAGTTAGAAATTTGGAAGTTAGAATGGTTCAGTGAATAGGGCACTGTACTCAGAGTAAAAATAAAAAGATGGCTCTTAGAGTGAGGGTATGACTCCACTACCAAGTTTTGTGAAGGAAACTAATGTTGATATGCAGAAGTCACCAAAAACAGTTGCTAAAGCATGTTTACACTTGCTCCTTCTGTTGATAGATTGTTTGGCTTCCCCGTCAACCGCAGAAGCAATGCACTGTGGGTATATATCCCATGGTGCCTGGTGATACCATCTGTCTCTAGGTGTTGTGGGACCACAGAACAGAGCGTGGGGCATCTTAGAACTGTGTAGACTATGCTATTGGGCACCATGTTTTCAGGGGCTATTGGCATTCTTTCATGCCTTTTTTCCAACTGCCATTATTGGCTGTGCACTCTGACATTTGCAGCTAGAAAGAATGGATCCCATACTTCTCTTGAGTGCTCTGTTAACAGTTGTGAAGTCCTCATGCATGGGAGTGGAGATCATCTTGATATTACTGACAGAGCAAGAAGACTTGGCAGAGTGTGCGTGATGTGGGCAGCAGCAACTTTTCTTTGCATTTGGCAATCACAGAGCAGCTGTACAGAGTAGGTATGGGATGAGGAGCCATGACTACAGAACTTTAGGATGCGTAAAGTAACCTTCCTGGAGATGTGTGCTGGGTTGACCCCTGACCTGCTGTACAAGGACACCAGAATGAGAGCTGCTCTCTTGGTTAAGAAGCACGTGGCAATTGCTGTGTGAAAGTTGGAGACTCCTGATTGTTACCAGTCAGTTACAAATCTGGAGTGGGGAAGTTTACAACTGGTGCTGTTCTGTTGCAAGTGTGTAGGGCAATAAATTGCTTTCTGCTATGGAGGAATGTACATGACATAGTGGCTGACTTTGCAGACATGGGATTTCCCAACTGGGGGAAAAAGATGGTGTACACATTTTGATTTTAGTGCCAGCCCACCCTGACACTGAGTACCTCAACAGAAATCTATACTTCTCAGTTGTGCTGCAGGTGCTTTTGGATCACCCTGAGTATTTTACAGACATTAATGCAGAATGGTCTGGAAATGTACACAGTACATGCATCTTCAGGAACACTCATCTGTTCAGAAAGCTGCAGACGGGAACTTTTTTTTTTCCAGACCATAAGATTACATGGGGAATGTGGAAATCCCCATAGTGATCCTCGGCGACCAAGCTTATCTCTGGTAGTTCTGGCTCATGAAACTGTCATGACAGGGCACCTGGACAGCAGTAAGGAGCATTTTAACAACAGTCTGAGCAGGTGGTGCATGGTGGTTCAATTTGCCTTTGTGAGACTGAAGACAAGATAGAGATGTTTCTATGGCAGCTAGGCCTCACCGAGGACAATATTTCTATGGTTATTGCAGCTTGTAGTTTGTATAATTTGTATGAATCTAAGGGGGAATTGTTTGTTCAGGGATGGAGCGCTGAACTAGAGTGCTAGGCTGCAAAGTTTGAGCAGCCAGATATCAGAGCTGTCAGAGGAGCTCAAAGGGCTGCTGTTAACATCTGGGAGGCTTTGAGGGTGCATTTTGAAAATGAGGGGCATTGAAATAAACCTTTGTTACAGTTGCTTCCAGTCTGTAATCCCCTCCCCTTTTCCCCTCAAATACAACGTGACTGGGAACATGCCATTAAAGTGACTGGTCTGTGAGGTTATTCCATAGTAAATAAAAGGGTACCTTTATTCATCAGAAAATAGTGCACTGAAACACAATAAATTACTCTTGACAGCTGGTAAGGGAGGTGCAGACAAATGTGTATAGGTCTGAGTAGATAAGCATGGGAAAATGAAGACTTTCAGAGAGTAAAAAGGAATGTGAGGGTTTGCAGGATACAGAATTTTGAATCTGCTGGGGGGAGGACACATGGGCTACGTCTACACTGGCCCCTTTTCCGGAAGGGGCATGTTAATTTCAGCGATCGTAATAGGGAAATGCGCGGGGGATTTAAATATCCCCCGCGGCATTTAAATAAAAATGTCCGCCGCTTTTTTTTAAAGTGGCTTGATCAAATGCTTTCATTTAGATGCCATGCTCACATTGACTGGGACTGATGCATATGGCACATAAACAGGCAAATCAGAGAAGGAAATCACTGGCCAAAAAGATATTACTAGAAACAATTGAGAGGGAAACTGTATTGGGAATGCTGCTTAAATAACTATAATAAATGTCGACTTTAAATAAGGTACAGTGTTAACATGCTTCCATAAGTATACTTATTACTTTGAAGTAGGAATAAGATCCTCCGGAAAAGGGCGCTTTTCTAAAAGCCGGAAAAAAGCGGCGGACATTTTTATTTAAATGCCGCGGGGGATATTTAAATCCCCCGCGCATTTCCCTATTACGATCGCTGAAATTAACATGCCCCTTCCGGAAAATGGGCCAGTGTAGACGTAGCCACTATGACTAACTGCTGCTTCACTAAACACTTGAGGATCTCCATCTGTTCCTCCATCAACCTGATCATGTGTTCTGGGGCTTGCCTGGAAAAAACTTGGTTGTCCTTGCATTTTCTCAGCTCCTTTTCCAAGTGTTGTTACCTATGTCTGCACTCACTCACTCACTGATAGATGTAACGTTTCATGAACCAAATCCTCCCTTGTTTCTTAGGGCGCTTTCTTATCTATTGTAAGTTCTCTTATGTGGATCTCCATGGCAGTCTCTGCTGTTCAACCCAGTGCATAAAAAGGAATCAATTAATATTGAGTTCCACATTGTAACATTTCACTTACAACCCCTTTTTCCCTTTTCCCACTCGTTTTCCTGTTCACCCTCCCAAGTAAAGCATCTTGGCAAGCACCATAATCATGAGTGAGGGGATGGGGAAGGCTGGTGACTGTGCAAAAGGACAAAAGAAATTCCAGCCATGGCTAGAAAATTCCTTTTGCAGGAACCTACTTCTCATGATGCCACACTTCTTCACAGGTGGCTAGCATCCTGGCAGATATCTCCCTGCTCAGGGTAAGCAAGGAAATGAGGGCACAACTTCTCCAGTTTTGTGGCTTTCGCTTTGCTCTATATTCACACGTGTTCAACTTTGCTTCCTGCTCAAGTGATATTGGGCCCCTGCAAGGCTTTTGTACATTTCAAAGACTGAAGGGGCTCCGGTGAGAGCTGTTGCGAGCAGAGCACTGCTTCAGTTTCCCTGCTATGCCTCTGTTCCCTTCCCCCCCACAGAGCCAGAGCTGGCTTAAATCCTTTTCAGTCTGCTCAAGTAGTTATTGAGTCACTACTTGACTATCTGATAAGCTTATGCTTATCAGATAGTCGGCTAGTTACTTACATCCCTAGTGCAGAGGGTTTGTGTGGTGACTTGGTGCAAGGTCTGGGAGGAGGTATGGATGCAGCAGAGGACTGGGGAGGGGTGTGAGAGGGAGTGTAGGGGTTGGGATGGAGTATAGGTGCAGGAGAGGAGTAGTTATTGAGTCACTACTTGACTATCTGATAAGCTTATGCTTATCAGATAGTCGGCTAGTTACTTACATCCCTAGTGCAGAGGGTTTGTGTGGTGACTTGGTGCAAGGTCTGGGAGGAGGTATGGATGCAGCAGAGGACTGGGGAGGGGTGTGAGAGGGAGTGTAGGGGTTGGGATGGAGTATAGGTGCAGGAGAGGATTCTGGCCTGAGGTAGGGGTGCAGGGTCTAGGAGGTTGTTATGACTTGAAGAGATGGGGAGAGGGGATACAAAGGGTTTGAATGGTGATCTGGAGCAGGAGGAGATAGTGCCCTGGGGTAGGAAGTTGGGGGGAGAGAGAAGGTGGGGTGTCATAAGCAGGCTCTGTCTAGAAGGTACTTACCTGGGTGGCTCCCAGCCTGCAGCTCTGCAGAAACCTGAGATGGATTCCATCCCTCTCTGCTGGGCTGGCTGCTCCACGTGGCTCTGATCCAGCACAGTGAGGAGGGAAGGAGGAGGCTTTGCGCTCTGCTCCTGCCTCCAGCAAAATTTTTCAACTCCTATTGTCCGGAAATGGGCCAATGGGAGCTGAGGGATTTTGCTACGGAAGCTTCCCTGTCTCTACCCAGCATCCAGAGCAATTAGCAGCCAGTAGCATGTGTAACTGTGTAGTGTAAGAGCGCTGATGAGGTGGCCACAGGCTGGGTCCAGCAACTTTGCAGGCCAGCTCCAGCCCATTAGCCGCCTCTAGCCCACCCATGAGTAAAACCCACATCCTTTTTGTAGTCTCGGTCTTAACTGTTCCATTGCTCTGTGTCAACACAAGACCTTGATCTTGCTTTGAAGAATCTTTATTGAATTCGAGGATCAGTGAGCAGGACATCGGTTTTTGCAGAAGGCAATTTCCAGAAGAGTTATCATGAAATGTTAAATGATTTTTTTCAAAGGCTTAATGGCTGAAGATACTTATTTTTCTTTAAAGTATCTGTGAAATTATACCTTGTATTTTAAATGACCTTGCCTACAAAACTCTACCACATTATATATTTTTAAAGGCCCTCGGTGCTTAGTACCTCAGCAGACTGTACTAGAATCAAAAAAAGATAAGGTCTCTAGTGCCTACTTCTGCAATATACACAGTACCCTCAATTATACCTGACAGGGTACTTGGCAGCTTTCAGGAGGTGTTTGCAAGTTTGGACCCTCTAAATAAGTTGTCTAGGCAACATGTTTTCCAAAATGTTTCATAATACAATTTTTTTTTTTTGTTCTTACTCCAGGATTTCTAGTGCAAGAAATTAAGAAAGCTGATATTCCTCTTCCTGAAGGAGATACTGCCCCTGCTGCCCCTCAACTTAAACACATTTTAGAAATCCAGGTAACTCTTGAAATAATTTTACAGAAATAAGTAGCATTGGATTTTTGCACTGAATTTTGCTTTTCTTCATTTTGAAACAAATCCTGAGAACCTACAGTTCTCCTTTAGAACACCAAAAGCTGCAGATACTCGGTGGGTTTTGGTATCTGTCTTTTAATTGTTATAAAGCTTGGTAGCTTTTCGTTTTAATGCTAGTGATGTGTTAGGCATTGGAGTGCTAATATTTTATGAGCTTTTCTTTGACAAAGCTAAAGTTAACTCTTAATTTTTGTATGTTTAACTCAGGGTTTGTTTGCATATCTTGTTTAATATACCAAGTATGCTAGTATACCTAGCTTGTCAAGATTTTCAAACAAATTAACTACTGTAACTAGTCTTTTAGTCTTGTAAGTCAATTTGGAAATGTACCCTATATTGTAGTGGAAGTCAGTGGCCGTTCTAAATGTGAAAACTGGGTGGGCATGAATGCATAGAACACAAGCAGCTGTTGAATTGATTTATATTTACAGTAGCACAGGATAAATAAATGTTTGTAAAATGCAAAGAGGCGATGAATACTATGATTTATAATTTCCTCATTAAAAAATTCAGACATTCATACTTTAACACCTTTTAGTCCCTACCTCTTATTAAGAGCTGTTGAAATCTGGTTCAAGATAAGGATGCACAGAAGCAGCCTTAATTTGTCATTGATGCCAAAATTTCAGTTCCAGAACAAGTTATAAAATAGACTGCTAGTTGACTGTATTTATTATCTGAATAATAGTTAAACATTTCTCATTTTAGGTATATATTTTGTTTAATATGACCATATTCAAGAATTACCTCTGATGCTCCTTGATGTTTTTTTATCATCAGGTTTGGTAAAAATTGGTAAATAATTACAAATAAATAACCATCATTTGCAATGAAGAGTGAAACTGATATAGCACTTTTTCCCATTTTTTTAGGAACAGTTGCAGAAACTAGAGACAGAATTAAGGGAAGTGACTAAAAACAAAGAAAAGTTGAAGAAAAACCTGCTTGAGTTGACAGAATATACACACATGTTGCGAGTCACACAAGCCTTTGTCAAAAGAGCTGTTGAGGTACTGTGTATGCTACATATGCAAGATTGTGTTTTCATGTAAAATTTTGTCTTGTAAGCATATTAGTAATTATATAACTTGGCAGTCTTTAAACAACATGCAGTGTCTTGTCCTTTATTATTATTTGTATTGTTTAGGTCTTGTAGATCCCAGTAAGGGATTGGGAACCCGTTGTGCTTGGTAAACACACATCATAAAAAGGCAGCTCCTATGCTAAATAATTAGCAAGCTAAAAATACAATAATACAAATACTGTTATTGCAACTTACAAGAAATTGGGTGAAGGAACAATTTTTTTTATATACACAAGTTGCAGTTACAATACTGTCTTAGAATTTTTGCAACATTTTTTAATGTTGACAAAAGCAATTTACCTGAGATCCTGAAACCTTGCTTGTCTGAAATTCTATATGGGATATCTTTAATTTTTAAAGTTAATTTTATGATATAAAATTGACAAAAATATTGGCTTCCTGAAAGTTATATCTATCTTTTGTTTGTCAGTATGAATCCTGTTTACATACCAATTATGAGGAATTTCCGTCTTTAGAAAATGATCCTTTGATGGACTACACTTGTATGCATAGGCTGGGTGCCAAACTGGGGTAGGTAATGTTAAAATATGTGAGCAGAAATTATATTGGTTAAGTGCGACAGATCAAGTCTTGATACTGTTGTAAAACTACTCTAAATATTTGGCCACATCCTCAGATGGCGTAAATTGGTGCAGCTCATTGACTTCAAATGAGCAGTGCTAATTTATATTAGCTGAGAATATGTTGCACTGTGTCTTAGACTTATTGAGCCAGATTTTTACATTAACTTAATAGTGGCACGATTGGCCTCTGAACACTATAAAAATATATATTAAACTGATAAAATATCTGTATTAGCACAATATATGCTTGTCTGTCTATATATTTTAGAAATGTGCATCTCTGTTTGTCTGTCAGTTTGGTCAAAAATTCCTCCTATATGGCAAGAGCTAGGACTACCAAGTATGGTATACAGCTTCTTCTTATCCTAACTTAAAGGAAAATCAGGGCTTGGTTGTTCCAGGATAACAGGAAGTGGGATGGGACTGTTTTCCATAACATGGAAAGGCAGGGGCACAGAGAGGAGGGACATGATACTAGGGGTACTGAGAACAGAGAAAAGCTACGTTGCAGAGTGACCATTGGGGGCAGCTGCACCACCAAAAGAGTGGCCAGCTGGATCTGGGGCACACCATATTGCCTGCCACCAGACCAGATAAGTAGTTCCCCTGCCCCAAACCCTTTCCTCCTGAGTCTGTTGGCTGCGGCACTGGAATGGGGAGAGGGAGAAAGGCCCCTGCTGCCTGGAGGGGGAAGGCTGTGCCAGCCAGGGAGGATTTCAGGAGAGAGAGAGAAGACTCCGACGGGAGGGTGGGAAGGGAAGAGAAGGTGGCAGCTGGGACTGCCCTGCCCTGAGCTCCTCTTTATTCCCCAGCTCTCACACCTCCAGTCCCCCAGCCTCTGGCCCTTATCCTCTATCCCCAAGGCCCTCCCTTGACTCCTGCACTCCCCACACAAATAATCTCCTGTCCTGAAGGACCCAGGCAATGCATGGTAAATCTTCTAGTAATAATATAATGTAACAATCTAGTGGGATTACAATCTAGTAGGGTATGATCTATAAAATCATGAGTGGTGTGGAGAGGGCTGATAAAGAAAAGTTATGTATTAGTTCCCATAATAGAAGAACTAGAGGACACCAAATGAAATTAATGGGTAGCAGGTTTAAAACTAATAAAAGAAAGTTCTTCACACAGCGTGTTGTCAATCTGTGGAACTCCTTTCCAGAGGAGGCTGTAAAGGCTAGGACTATAATAGAGTTTAAAGAGAAGCTAGATCATTTCATGGAGGTTAGGTCCATAAAAGGCTATTAGCCAGGGGATAAAATGGTGTCCTTGGCCTCTGTTTGTCAGAGGCTGGAGAGGGATGGCAGGAGACAAATCGCTTGATCATTGTCTTCGGTCCACCCTCTCTGGGGCACCTGGTGCTGGCCACTGTCGGTAGACAGGATACTGGGCTAGATGGACCTTTGGTCTGACCCAGTACGGCCGTTCTTATGTTCTTAGTGTGTTGCCTTTTTTTAAATCCCAAAGTAATTATGTAGCATTTTAATGAACTGGTGTTGAAGTTGTAAAGTTAGTAAAATGTTTAATACTTAAACACATATTTTCAAACTGATGTACAATCATAAATCCTCACTATACCTCGTGAAGTAGGTAATATCATATTTTGCAAATGGGAAATTTGTGAGGCACAGAACAATTGAGTAACTTTCCCCTGGCTAAAGAGGGAAGTTGTCAGAGCTGATTCACAAATGTGAGCTCAGACCAGTACTCCACCTATTTCTTCCCTATGTAGAATGAATTATTTGTGTATTATACATTGTAGAGTGTACATAAAAGAAAATTGGTCAGTTTTTGTTTGGTACGACATTAACTATTATAATTAGAATCTTCTTAGAAAAATATATTGTTAGGTTTTCTTATGGGTGTTGGTTTACTCTTATCTGTGTTTTTATATAGATTTGTATCTGGTTTAGTTCACCAAGCAAAAATTGAAGCATTTGAAAAAATGCTATGGAGAGTCTGCAAAGGATATACCATTCTTACTTATGCAGAGCTGGATGATTGTCTGGAAGATCCAGATACAGTGAGTAAACATAATAGCTACCATTTCATGATGTTTACTCATCATACAGTTAGATAAAATAATGGTAAGGAGAAAGGTCATTAGTTTTTAGCAGTAGATAAAAAGAGAATGATAATGAATTCTCAATATCTGTAGGAAGTTGTTTAAATTCTTTTATACTCCACTGTTTAACAAAACAGATGTTGGTCCTGTTCCTGTTATCAATGCAGGAGTAAAAATCAGCCATTTCCGTAGTTCATCTTGACAGATCTGGAGTCTCATTGTGGAATGGTGATGGTTTTATGGCAGGGGAGGCTACTCAGGTATTTATTAACCAATCGCTCTGTACTTTATTATGTAGTAATTTTATCTGCTATGGTAATAACAAATAAACATTTGATAATCTGCAAAGACTCTTCTAAACTTTAAACATTAAAAGATTCTAAGACAGTTAAGACTTCCTCACATTGCTGTATGCTGTATTTTCTATTGAAAATATTATGGATCTAATTTGTAACACTATAGTTCCTCAAGAATTGTGTGTGTGTGTGTGTGTATACACTATAGTTCTAAGGTGTATAACAAAAAGAGTAGAAAAAATTAATCTCTTGTATTTTCTCCTAAAAAGTGTTTAGTCTAACATAAAGTGCAGTAACATATTTTTTTCCTTTTTTAAATTTTTCTTTTAAGATGATGCAAATTTTATTTTGCTAATGTTCTTTCTCTGATTATCCAAATTCATTATTTTTGCTTCAGAAATTTTGTAATTTTTTGTTTTTTAAAACAATAAGAGTAACTGGTAACCAGATATTGTCAAATTGTGGTGAAATTATAAATCATAATTAAAATGAACAACATCCATGTATTGATTTATTTTAGGGTGAAATCACAAAATGGTTTGTGTTTCTAATATCCTTTTGGGGTGAACAGATTGGCCAGAAAGTTAAGAAGATATGTGACTGGTGAGAAATAAAACTTATTTAATTTTTACTGAATCTTGAATAATGTTTAGTTTTTACTAACAGTGATTATTTCATTACTGGAAATGCTGATTTCATAGGAAATTTTTTAAGATTTAATTTTCATTATTTTTGCTTTAGGTATTTTTCCAGTTGTAATTTAGTTTTATAATTATGTAATGTACAAAGAATGCACAAATCCTTCTCAGGTTCCTACACAAGGATTCAGTTTGCAGCTAAAGCATGACCCTGTCAACAGGATATATGCTTACGTTTCTTTTGTTTCTTCTTTGAATTTTGACTAAAGATGAATTGTATGTTGTTTACTGTTTTCATAAGCCCTATTTATTTTTATCTTTGTCAAATGTAAGCAGAAGTATTTTGGTTGTTTTTGCAGTTTTGTGTTTTAGTTGTAAAACCATTCATTGGCAGTATTTTGGTTCAGTATCTCTGCCTTTAAGTAGGCTAAGGAACATATAATACTGCTTTTTCATTTGTAATTCTCATAAAATGAAAACAAACACAAAGAGGTTTAGTGATTTGACCGAAGTCAGACATGATCTGGGGCAGAGCTCTGAAGAGAATCTAAATCCATATTCCCAGTCTGTTGAACTGTCTTCTAGACTATGATTAAATCAGAAGTACAGAGAGTTGTTTTAAAACCATCAGTAAAATTGATTGAGCGACTTGTCTGAAATTAATACACATTTTCTGGTGATTTGACTAGTTGAATGGAGTGAATTATGAAAATGAAGGAGAGAGTAGCAAAAATGGCATGCCAAAGTTCTGCGCAGGATTGTAAAAACCATGATGATCCTTAGCTCTTAGCTGCAGGGTCCTTCTCTAGTCCTGGCCCTCGTCTTGACACAAGATATATTTTGATCCAAGATCTATGAAAGGGAAAGATGGTAAATACAGAAACCTTGTTCATCACTGGTTTATTGCCTCACAATGTTTTTTCACATGTTTGCTCATGAGGCAAGATTCTCACCCATAAAGGCTGATTTACACATTTATAGATCTTTTTCAAGTGCCTGGATGTTTAATACAGGTGCCTGTTTTCTTTCAGCTATCATTGTCATGTATATCCCTATCCCAATACCACTGAGGAACGCAGAGAAGTTATTGAAGGACTAAACGTTCGCATTCAGGATCTTCATGTTGTGAGTAAAATGTAACTGATGCCTTTTTTATTGAAGACATTAGAGCATAGATAGTTGCAATATTAATTATGTCAATATACCTATAACTTGATGCATATTTATTTTTTTCAAGTTCCCAAACCTTCGTTGGTAAAAAGTTCTAGAGGTTTTTAGGTATGTAGTAATTGTGTGGTAAAGCAGTCAGAACAAAGGACTATAAAATGGTGTCATGTGACCAGGAGCAAATCATTTGAAAAGTATGACTTGGTTAAAAACTAGACATTGTACCTGAGTTGAGTTGAGCTACATAAATACCTTATCAAGAAGAGGAGAGTCATGGTAACAGCATTATGGAAAGAGAAACAGGGACTTAGTTGTAAGAGCACAGGAGTGAGAGCTGGGGATTTCTAAATTCTTACCTATGTTCTTGCACTGGCTGTGTCCTTTGGCAGAAAACTTAACCATTTCATTGTATTCTCTTTCTGCAAAATGTAAATGTTAATAGTTATGTACTGTCACGGGATAAGAGATTATATTAATGTAGTACGGTGCTCAGTAGTTGATAAATATTTGATACCAAATTACATATACCCACAGTGCTTTATGAAACTTTAAATTTAAATACTAGACCCTTACTATAAATATTGCAAATATACTTCAAGAGTTAAGCCTACATTTTCAAAAGGTCAGCAATGAAACTGTTCTCCAGACTTTCCTTTATTTCTTTCTTCAAAAGTGACCAAGTTGAGATGATGTCATATTTGGGAAAAAAAAAACCAAAATTTTCCAAGTCTTTGTATGAGCTTCTTTAAATTGTGCTTCACTTTCCGAATGTTCAGCACAAGGATGTTGAGGAAATAAAATATAGACTCAAATAATGTATTCTGCTTATCCTATCCTATTTTATGGCAGCATAGTTCTGTGCTAACTTCATTGAAGTTTCACATGGGTACCAATCATCCATGCAGACATATCTGCAAAGGAAGAACCTTAATCTTGCTGGTTCAGTTTTTTGTAGTTCAAAGGCAGCTATCATAACATGAAGTACCACTTTCAGCTGCAATTCTATTATGGTTTGCGAGTGGCCACCTCTCCGACAGAAGTGTGACTTGTGCAGATGACAGGTTTCATCATACAGTATTGCATCTTGATCCAAGTGATGGATTTCTTGGATGAAAAATGGCACTTTATTTAGTAAGACCTATAGTCTCTGTAGTCTACATCTCTGTAGTAAAATGAAGGCAGCTTCAGTTCCTTCTACTTTCTGTAGGTTAGGTTTGAGGGGCTAGGCTTTGTCCATATATTTACTCTGCTGACACCATCATTGCGCCTAACCATGTCAGTTACAAGATCAAGAACACATATTCCTGTTCACCCAGAAATATAATTTATGCCATCATGTGCCAACAGTGTCTGTCTGCTGTGTATATTGGACAAACTTCTCAGACACTTCACCAAAGAATCAATGCCCTCAAAACAGACATCAGACATTTCCACAAAGAAAAAACAGTTTGTTGCCATTTCAGCCAGACTGAGCACTGTCTCAATGACCTTATTACATGCATCCTGCTTCAGAGACTTTAACACCAGACTACAAAGGGAAACCTCAGAACTGTCATTCATGCTTAAATTTGACACTTTATGAATGGGCCTTAACAAAGATGCTAATTATCTTACCCATTACAAGATAGCTTCCCCAATTATCACCCCTAATATCATTATCTCATAGACACTAACCTCCCCCCCCCTTACCCCGTCTCTGTTTTAAAATCTGATTTGTCAATTTTATGTGTTCACTTTTTTGATTGTAACCCTTTGGTATATATGGTCATGCCAATTTTCTTCCACAATTTGATCTGAGGAAGTTGGTCTGGCCAACAAAAGCTCATCACCTAATAAACCATCCTGTTAGTCTTTAAACTGCTGCATAGTCCTGTCTTTTGTTTCAGCAAGACCAGACTAACACGGCTACATCTTTATTACTATTTTAATGAAGTGGGTCTTTGCCCATGAAAGCTTATGCTCCAATAAATCTGTTAGTCTTCAAGGTGCCACAGGACTTCTCATTGTTCTTCCTGTAGTTAAATTTTGTCTACTTTTTCAATTACTTATAATTATTTCAATTTTTCCTTTGACAAAGGTACTGCGTAAAACTGAGGATTACTTACGACAAGTGTTATGTAAAGCATCTGAATCCATTTATACTTGGGTTATACAAGTAAAGAAGATGAAAGCCATTTATCATGTACTAAACCAGTGCAGTTTTGATGTCACAAATAAATGTTTAATTGCTGAAGTTTGGTGCCCAGAAGCTGATCTGCAAACCTTGCGGCGAGCACTTGAGGAAGGATCAGTAAGTCATTTTATGTCTGTAGTCACCAACCTGTCGATCGCAATCGACCAGTCGATCGTGAGGCCTCGACCAGTCAATCACGAGGCATTCGGGCACCTCCGCCTCCCATTTTCCTTCCACCCCCGAGAAGCCCCGCAACCTACCTCTAGTGTAGTGCCGGCTTCCTGCGGGGTGGATGGAAATCCTGTCTGAAGCCCACCTCATTTCTGGGGGTTCCAGAAGTGCGCGGGCTGCTCCCCTCCCACAGCACTGCTGCGTGTT